AAGGAGGAAGTGGGATAAGTGATGCTTCATTATGGGGACTGTAATCTGTCAACATTCAAGGAAGCAGCAGTCAAGAAATCAAACGACATATTGCATTAGGTAAATCTGCTGCACAAGACCTTTTTAAAGTGTTGAAGAGCAAAGATGTCAGCTTGAGGACTACGGTGGGCTTGACCCAAGCCATGGTATTTTCAGTAACCTCATATGGATGCAAAAGCTGGACAGTGAATAAGGAAGACTGTAGAAAAATTGATGCATTTGAATTATAGTGTTGGAGAATACTGAAAGTGCCATAGGCTGCCAAAAGAACCAATAGATCCATTTTGGAAGAAGTATAGCCAGAGTGCTCCTTGGAGGCCAAGATGGCCAAACTTTGTCTCTCATACTTTGGACATATTGTTAGGAGGGACCAGTCACTAGAGAAGGATATCATGTTTAGTAAGGTGGAGGGAGGGCCAGAGAAAAAGAGAAAGACCACCCAACGAGATGGATTGGCCAAGTGGCAGCATCGATGGACTCAAGCGTGGCCACAGTAGTGAGGTTGGCCCAGGATCGGGCAGTGTTTCATTCTGCTGTGCATAAGGTTGCTATGGGTTGGTACTGACTCGATGGCACCTAACAACAACAATAACAACTATTCAAATTTACATACCAATCACTAAAGTTAGTGATGACTAAATTGAATTCTACCAGCTTTTTCAGTCTGAAATGGATCAAGCATGCAATCAAGACATATTGATTATTACTGGTGATTGGAATGCAAAAGTTGGAAACAAAGAAGAAAGGTCAGTAGTTTAAAAATATGGCCTTGGTGACAGAAATGATGCTGGAGATTGCATGATAGAATTTTGCAAGACCAATGACTTATTAATTGCAAATACCTTTGTAAAAACCATAAAAGGCAACTATACACATGGACCTTACTAGACGGAATACTCAGGAATCTGACTACATCTGTGGGAAGAGATGGTAGAAAAGTTCCATATCCTCAGCCAAAACAAGGCCAGGAGCAGAGTGTGGGACAGACCATCAGTTGCTCATACGCAAGTTCAGGCTGAAGCTAAAGTAAAAACAAGAACCAAAATATATAACACCTGAATTTAGAGACCATTTCAAGAACAGATGTGATGCATTAGACACTAATGACTGAAGACTAGAAAAGCTATGAGATGACATTAAGAACATCATGTAGGAAGAACACAAAAATTCATTAAAAGCCAGGAAAGAAAAAAAAACCAAAATGAATGTCAGAAGAGATTTTGAAATTTGCTCTCTAGTGTAGAGAATGCTAAAGCAAATGGAAGAAATAAGGACATCAGTGAGCTTAACAGAAAATTTCAAAGGGCAGCTCGAGAAGAAAAAGTCAAGTATTATAATGAACTATGCAAAGACATGGAGTTAGAAAATCAAAAGGGAAGAACACACTCAGCATTTCTCAAGCTGAAAGAACTGAAGAAAAAATTCAAACCTTAACTTGAAATATTGAAGGATTCTATGGGCAAAATACTGAATAATAAAGCATGGAAAGAATAAAGTCATTGTACAAAAATAAAAAATGATAGATGTCCAACCATTTCAATAAGTACCATATGATCAAGAGGCGATACTTGATAAGGTGAACTGAAGGCATTGTCAATAAACAAGACTGCAGGAATTGATGGAATACAAATTGAAATCTTTCAACAAATCAATGCAGCACTGGAGTTGTTCACCCATATTATGTCAAGAAATTTGCCAGCCTTGAAGGGATCCATATCTGTGCCCATTCCAAGAGAGGTAACCCACAGAATGTAGAAATCATCAAACAATATCATTAATATCACACACATGCAAGTAAAATTTTGCTTAAGATAAGTTTAATTATTTTTTTTATAATAAAAAAATGGCTGCAACAAATCATCAACAAGAAACTGCCAAAAACTTAAGCCAGATTTAGAGGAGGATACAGAACCTGAGATATCATTGTTGACATCAGATGGATCTTGGCAGAAAGCAGAGAATACCAGAAAGATATTTATTTGTGTTTTATTGACTATGCAAAGAGTTTCAACTAAGTGGATCATGGCAAGCTATCGTGAAGAATGAGTATTCCAGAATACTTAACTGTGCTTATGAGGAACCTGTATATAGATCAAGAGACAGTTGTTAAAACAAGAGGATATTGAATGATTTAAAAACAGGAAAGCTGTGCATCAGGGTTGTATCCTTTCACTATACTTATTCAATCTGTATGCTGAGCAAATTATCTGAGAAGCTGTATTTTATGAAGAACATAGCATCAGGAATGGAGGAAGACTCATTAAGAATCTGAAAAATGAAGATGATACATCCTTGCTTGCTGGAAGTGAAGAGGAATTAAAATATTGGCTGATGAATATTTAAGACTACAGCCTTAAGTATGGATTTCACCTCAATGCAAAGAAAACGAAACTCTTCAGAACTGGACCAATAAATAATATCATGAGAAATGGAGAAAAAATTGAAATTGTCAAAGACTTAATTTTGCTTGGATCTATAATCAACACTCATGGAAGAAGTAGTGAAGACATGAAACAATGTATTGCATTACACAAATCTGTTGCACAAGACCTCTTTAAAGTGTTCAAGAACGAAGATGTCAGTTTGAGGACTAAGGTGTGCCTGACCCAAGCAATGGTATTTTCAATAGCTTCATATGCCTGAGAAAGTTGGACAACAAATAAGGAAGACCACAGAAGAATTGATGCGCTTCAGCTACAGTGTAAGAGGAAATATTAAAAGTACCACAGACTTTCAGAGGAACAAAGCAATCTGTCTTAGAAGAAGTGCAACCAGAATGCTTCTTAGAAGCCAGATGGTAAAAGTTCATCTCTAATACTTCAGATATATCATCAGGAGGGAGAAGGAAATCATGCTTGGTAAAGTGGAGGGTCAGCAAAAAAGAGCAAGATGAGATATACTGGCACAGTAGTAACAGCAATAATAACACATGAGAGGCTAGCACAGGACTGGACAGTGTTTCATTCTGTTGTGCATAGGGTCCCTATGAATTAGAACCAAATCTATGCAATTAACAACTAACAAGATAATAACCAAAAAGTAAACCTACTGCCATTGAGTTGATTTTGACCCATAACAACTCTATAGGACAGAGTTGAACTGCTAGAGAGTGTTTCCAAGGATGTAATCTTTATGGAAGCTGATTATCCCATCTTTCTCCTAGGGAGAAACTGGGTGGTTAACCACTGGACCACAAAGGCCTCACGTAAAGTAAGTGCACATAAATAAAACCCAGGAGGAATGGGTGGGTATCTTCCATGACTGGGGGAACTGTAAGACATTGGTTTTATTTTGTTTTCTTCTTTCTCTGGAACAATAATAGTTTACTTTGCATAATATTTTTCTTTTCTATAATTATAGGAGATGAACATAAATATGAAAAAGAATATACTACCTACTGGAATTTCATATTTACAATATAACTCCCTTTCTACTAAAAAAGCTACCAGAATAATCTTGGTGTGGCACTGTAGGATAAGCACTGGACTGCGAACTGCAAGGTCAGTGGTTCAAAACCACCAGCGGTTCCTTGGAAATTCCTATATAAGGTCCCTATGAGCTGGTCTGCTAACAGCAAGATCAGCAGTTCAAAATTACCAGTCCCCTCATCAAGAGAAAGATGAGACTTTCTGTTCCTGTAAAGATTTACGGCCTCAGAAATCTTGTACAGAGTTGCCAAGAATTGGAAGTGACTCTAAGGCACAGAAGCACTACAACCACCATGGATTACATGCTGAAGTGATTTTAGGATAACATTTCAGAGTTTAATCTGTAACTATTCAATGTTGTTGTGGTTATGTGCCGTGGAGTTTGTTCCAACTCATTGCCACCCTGTACAGGGTTTCCGAGGCTGTAAATCTGTACAGGACCAGAAAGCCTCATCTTTCTCCCTCAGAACAGCTGGTAGTTTTGAACTGCTGACCT